TATATGTTTTAAAATCACTTCTTTAAATACTTGACTACAAAACATGAACTTGGAAAAAATTCTGAACAAGCACTGGTTCAATCTTTTGAAATCCCACGTTCTTTATTTTTTCTTCTAATGATTGTTATAACACGTAGATTTATTATAATCTTAGATTAAAATAATAAAATAATATTTTTATCTCTATAAATATAAGAGGATCTCCAACCGGAGAGGCAAAAAGAAGGCAAAGTTAAAAATATAATTTTTTAGCTTTTATTTCTTTAATTTATCATTCCAACACAGCAGCAAAAAAAAATTAAAATGGTTATTTAATCTGAAAAGAGCTATTTCTACATGTTTGGTTTATGTAAAAATAGTCAAAATAAAATTAACATTACCAACGACTATAAAAATAGTCGTTGGTTAATAGTATTTTTTTTCTTTAAAAGTAAGGTAAAAAATTTGTTATTTTATGTTTTTATTATAGGTTAAGAAAAATAATTTTTTATTTATGTTGTTATCTTTGACAAAATTAAAAGAAAGTAATAATAGTAATTGATATTGATAAAAATATAAAGTGACATATTTAAAATTTATTATTCATTTTTTTCATTTTCAATACATATAATTAATGCTCTAGAATTATAGCTGGTTTGCTTTTATAAATTACTCATATTAATTATATAATTAATAACATCATAATTATATATAAAATATATAAATTAGTTATATAATTATATTAAAATTAATTTAACATGAAATATATTAAAATATAAATGGCTTTTCTAAATAGCTTTTTATTATTAAAATACATATAATTAAAAAAGTTATATTTATACTATACAAAAAATTATTTTATTAATTTAATTTTTTAATTTAATTTTTTGGATTGGAGATACTCTAACACAATTAATAATTAATAGTGGAAACGGGAATATAATAGTATTTTTGTTGTTATTTACATGGTGAAAATATTGATATGCGCTTGGAGGTAAAAATTAAAACATTTATGGGCGGGGCACTATTGATCTTTCATTTTACTTGCATGGTGGGATTACCATAATGCCCTTGAATCATAATTATCTTTGTTTTGTGTTAAGAGTTGTTTTTGTCTATTCATTTTTTGTTGTTGTAATTATTGAGTTTGAATATTAGCAAATTTGATATGTTTAAATAAATTAAATATTATTTAACGTGAGGCTGACACGAATAAATGTGAGTTTTTTTATTATCTTTGGATGATCATATAATTGTGTCTAGTGATAAACTTCGATGTCCACGACAATATTTTAATCCTTATGATGTCACCTCTATTTCTGGATGGCTTGTATGGCAAAAACATATCTGCCCTTGTGTTAGTGATTATTTTTTTTCTTTTTTCTCTTCTTCTTAGTTCCAAAGCTAACTTGTGTATATTTTTAAAGTGGCCCTCCAATTTATTTTTCTTTTATATTTGATCTCAGTTTTTTTTATTGCTATTTGTTTTATTTTAGACCATCCATGGAATTGAAGTTTTTTTATAATTTAATCCTTTGTTTTTTTTACATTTTAGATTTGATTTCTATTCTTTTAATTATTTTTTAAGTAAATTATCTTGTCAATTGCATCCCTCAATATTTTATATCATTCTCTTAATTGAATTATTTTTTTAACCCCATCCCTCAATATTTTAATTTATTTTTTTATGTCTGATTTGATCTTTATCCTTTTAATTACTACTTATTTTATTTTTAATATTTTTTTTATTGAAACTTTCTTTCTTGATTTCATCTTTCATTATTTTATGAATTGAGATTTTGTTATCTTTTTGGATCATGAGTTTGAAAAATTTGATAAGCTTGACTTATAATTTTTTTTTGAAGCCTTTTTTTTACAATTAATTTTTATTCATATTATTTTTTTATAAAGTTATCCTCACTCGTGTATTAGATCTCAAGTTTCCTTGTGTTAATCCAACTTTACTAAGGATAATATTTGTTTAATTTATTTTTTACTATTGTTGTCTATGTTTTTAATCATATTATCAAATTAATTTGAATATAAAATTTCTTTTATTTATTTTAAAACACGGTCATCTTGTAAAAATTTTTTCGGGTTGAAAAAAAAAGAAGAAAAAGATGCAGCCCCGCTGTCTAGTTTTATCCTCAACCTCCGCAGGCTATGACAGGGATCTTTGAGGGGCTTATTCCAGTCTGCAACCGTGAAAGTCAGGTTTGTTTTCTGGGCCTTTGAGCCTCTCAAGTGACCGAAAAGATAATGTTGACTGGGCCTTAGTTATTCGAATATGTAAAACTCTGCGCAAGGAAAAGTTCAAGCTAAAATCAGAAGAGAAAATTGGCAGGCCTGCAGAGAATTGAGACCAAATCCGTGGAGGATAGAGACGAGAAACCACAAAACTTTAAACCCAGAATAACGTTCCAAACAAGGTAGATTACATCCTCTTCAAAGGAATTTCGAGAAATAAGAGTAAAAATTTAAGAGTAAATTCCTCTTTGTAGCCCCTCTAGTTTCAAAAAGTAATTACATTAGCTCCTTTAATCTTAATTACTCAAGAGTCAAGACCTTATAATTTCAATTATGGATCGATCCCAGTGATGAGGTCTTCTCGTTAACATGTGTTAGACCTTGTAACAACTCCTCTACCTGCTTCTTTGTCAGTCTATAATCTCAAAAACAGATGCAAAAAATCCATGCAACATTAGCCACTATTACATCTATTTCCCTTTTCATTTGATTTATTTTTCAATAACGATGATGGGTTCTGGTTTATATATATCCCTATAATTTATTGTTTCTGATATTAATGTAGAGATTAAGTCTGGAAGTGAATGGAATTCTGTAATTTACGTAGATAAGGAGCTCAAAATAATTTGATGGAGTTTTTCGAATCTAGTAAGCTTTAATTGAAGATAAACTGCATGAATGCCACTAGTTATTTCTTATGCATTGTAAAATCTTCCTTTAGTGAATCAATATATTTTTATTTTAATAAACATCCAATGGAAAAAAAGATTAAATTTTGTCTACAAACCATCTACATGAAACATAAATAAAAGGGTGTTTAGGAATATATTTGTGATTGATTTTCAAAATATTTTTCATTTAGAAATGCATTAAAATAACATTTTTTTTTAAGAAATAAACAATATCTAATTCTGTCAATGCGGTGAAGATAACACAGTTAGGAGGCTTCTTGAAACATCAATGGTGGATATGGATGGAAAGACCATGCATGCACGGACGCTGGAGCATAACTAGGAGTATAAGGCCTTGTACAGCCAAAATAGGAATAGAGGGGTTAATATGATTAAGTTGCAGAACTTCCGGGACCACTAATTTGAATCTACCCCATAATCTGCCTGTGAGTGGTAACATTAGCATCTCAATTGTTCCCCACAATTCGAATATAGTCTAAGTCCTTCTCGACGGAGAATGAACTTGTATGTATGTATATATATGTTCGGATCTCCTCCCTCCGGTCGCCGAATTACTTATCTTATAGTCATAACCATTTACCCAAAGCGGGGAAAAAAGGAGGCAAGGAGGAAAAGAACACAGCATTAACGTAAAAAGGAAAGAAAGAAAAGAAAAGCTTGCACAAGAAGAAGGGAAACAAAATCGAGGCATGACAGTGAAACGCATTATAGAACGATCCCAAAGCAATCTTTAACAGAAAATTCTTCTCTTTCCCCCCTCTGCCTATGCTAAGGGCTAGATGGGTTACTATTTTCACCCATTTCTAGGGTTTCTTTCCTTCTTTCCAGATAAAAACTGAAAGTCTTTAGACATGATCATGAATGTCAAACTTAAAGCATGATATGATTGCCCAATTCCCACCCTCCACTTACATTCTCTGAACTCTCCATTTCCATTCGTTTTCTCTCCTTTTAAAAGAGGAATTATTGAGTGGCCTCTGGCCAGAAGACCATATGCTACTAATCACCAGCTAGTTTCTTTCCACTGCATTTCTTTCTTGTTTCACTTACTTTAAGACGTTCTGCACGGTACAGCATTCCAAATAAAAGCTTTGAGTAAACAGTGAAACTGACGCTTCATGTTTCTTTATGGAGATGGCCATTTCTTTTTCCCCAGAGAGATAAAGACAGACAAACATTGTTTGGGTGGAAGACAGTTAATGAACAGAACAAGCAGTAAAAGGCAATTTTTACAGATGCCTTTGTGAATTTACTTTGCGTGAAAAAAGAGCATTGACCAAGAAGATGAGTTCAGGCAGCAATGGTCTATGTATATACTATATTACCACTTATATTCATAGTTTAAAACATTAATTATATATGGAGTTTTTTTTTTTTATGTTCTTAATAGTCCATTATTCAGTATGCACCATATGCATTTCTTCAGAATATCTTCTACCCCATATATATTTGATTAAGGAAAGAATTAGGGTTTTAAGGATGCGATTGTTTTGCCTAAAATATTTTTTATTTTATTTTGTGTTTATTTTTTACAAGATACTGTATTGGAAAATTGTCTCACCTTAAATATTTTATAATTAATCTTTAAATTTATTTTATTCATTAAAAAAATATTAATTTTCAATTTATCAAATTTTTAAAAAATATTTTACAAATAATAATTTACTAATAATATTACCCAACAATTTCAACAACTACCACCAACTTTGTTTTTATGCAACCATCATCACCTATCATCATCATTGTTGCTATCGCCCCACCCCTACCATCACCACCTCTCGCTGGCCCTACAACCACTACTGTTACCACAATTTTATCATCAAAACATTGTATTATCATTCTACTAGTGTCATCATACTTTTTATATCATTACTTGCTACACATCATAAAATATTTCTCTATAAAACATTTTAAGTAAGACAAAGAAAACATTTTAGGTAAGACAAAGAAAAGGAAAATGAGGTTAATATATATAGAAACTCTAACTACTTAATTTATAGGAATATCTATAAATGAGAAGCCAATATTTTGCTGCAGATTTGCCAAAAAAAGGAAATGGAAAGATTTTTTTTCTTTTTTGCTGCTGATTTTGAAGTAGCTACAAGTAGCTTAACTCCAACTGAACTTTCAGCTACTTGTATACGAGCTTCTCTTCTGATAACTCTTACTGAGAACGACTACAACCTGCGGTACAGGCTAATTAATGGAGACCCTACGATATTGTTGCCGCTAATCGATCACTTCTGGACGCAGCCTTTTATTGCCACTGAGAGGGACTCCAAAGAGCTTCACAGGACTAGTTGATTCCTCAGTACTCAATGTCAATGAATGCTGACCCAAAACAGTACCATTCTTAGCTCTTTGAATGCTAGAACAAGTGGTTTGATCCTGACATGAAGAGCCCAGTTCTATTAGCTTAGGTGCTGCATTATAAGCCTTTTGCTCATAGGGCATTGGTTTTACATGGTTTTGGATGAAGTAGATAATGTCATTATAGAGGTTCTTCATGTGGGAGAGTTCTGATAAAAGCATGCAGTTTTTCCTTCTCAGTCGCTGATTATCTTCTGAGAGTGCAGTTAGGATGTCAGTACTTGGTTTTGGAGATTGAAATGGAGGATCGATCCAACTAAAACCATCTTCTGGTTGGAAAAATCGGGGTGGTTGCTCAGGGTAGTGCTGGTGATGGTGTTGGGATGTTTTTCTCCTGTGGATCTCAGACAACAAGTGCTTTGCTCCTCTTCTGAAGTTCTCATTTGCAAACTCCCATCTGTCAGCTACTACCTTCTTGAATCCCTGCAAAGTATTAACAAGAATAAGAGAATGACAAGAGAGAAAAACTGTCTAGTATGAACATCGAATCAGTTTTGTGGAACGTTTATTTATGAAGCTTAATTAGTAATTTAATACGGATTGCCATGTACTAATTAAAGTGCTGGTATACTTTATCTTAGGCTGAATGTTTATGGTTAATTAGCTGAGATTGATATCTCCTCCAATATTTTGTATCGGTAATATCTAGAACATAAATGGTGCTTAAGATCTTAAAAAGAAGTGAGACATAGCAACGAACAAGACCCATCTGTAAGAGATTAATTTTGAGAGCAAAAGTCTAGGTCTAACTGAAGTCAAGTTATCTAAAATGAGAGTAACAGCTCCATGGAAAAGCAACCCATATTAGTCAGCACAGCTTTTTACCTCGCTGCTTATAAACTAGTAGAATCTAGAGAGCGTTATGAATTACCAGAGAGAGAGAGAGAGAGAGAGATGCTCACATAGGTATTGAGCTGCCTGACGAAGCTTGAGAAGTTGTTGTGCTTGAAATAGTTGGGAAGAAGATCCCTTGAAAACTCAGGAGGTCTCCATACAACAAAGCTGGTTTCATCATCACCCCAGGACACAATGTGGTCAGTAAGAGGATCATCAACCAGCTGATATGTTTTTGTTAAGAATGGTGCAGGAACTGCCTTTTGAGACTCCACGGTAAACACCATCTCTTCACATCTATCCACCGTAAAAGCCATTACCAGCTATGAATTACACAGAGGGAGCAAATGACATGTACTGCAGCTAGACCTCTGCTAGTACGATTTTTACACTCAATATTCCAATATGTTTAAAGAAGCTCCTGTCTCTCTCTCATCATAATTTTCTAACTTTATGAAACAGAAACATATGGCCATGCCACTAAAATAAAGCCACTCGATGCCCTCTCTTTCTCTCTCATTGCAGTTTCTAATTTCAAGAAGCATAAGACCATTTCAGTAAATTACAGCATTGAATTTTCTAGATATTACTATAATTATAAAGATCCGACGAGCTCTTAGTTAATTAGCTATTGATTGTTTCATTGGCTGCATGCAGTACGGCTAGCTAGTACTGGTGGGGAAGATGCAACACATCCTTTATTAATTTATTTATTGCACTGATCATCGGGGAAGATATATGTGTGTGCATCTAATTCAGCTCACGAACTTTTCTTTGATTAGGGCACACCCAAATGATGGTTTAGAATCACTGTCTTCCCATGCAAAGACAAATCTGTCCCTATCCGATGTTTACAGTAACCCATGCATGTTGCACGAGAGCAGATACAGCTAAGAATCTACTAGGTTGTGGCATATGCATGCATGCATGCTGGGAGGAACATCCATTCATCCATCTCTTTGCACATCACAAGGCAAACCCGTGACTTGAGATGCTGTAAGGGAAGGAGTTAATAGTTAATACTCATCAGTCATCACTGCAGTGGAAGGAATAATTTACTTTCCCTTTGAAATAAAATTACTTGTTAAATGAAATGTCATTTTCTAATTCCCATTTTTTCTCCATCAACAAAGCTGCTTCCTCTATAAATCTTTACGTGACAAAGATCAGAAAGACCCTTTCAGAACTCAAGATTCCTCTGTTGAGGGTCACTTTCTGTACAAATCACACTCATCATAGAATCCTAGTGCCCTAATAATTACCGCATTAATTATCAAAAGAAGTCTCGTTTGTTCATTTTATAATTTATAATTCAATGACGACATATATACACATATATGGCAAATCTCTTTCTCTCCCTCTCTCTCTCAATATAAGAAAAGAAAGAAGGAAAAGTTTCTTTTGATGTGTTGCTTTTCTTATAACTCATTCTAGCGATTATTTAATGCGCCTGGAAAAAGAAATGCAATGGTTATGTAGGAAAAGCTGAACTTGTATTTCTAAACATAATAAATTACAAATATTATGAAAATCATGAAGTAAATAAAAGAAAAAAAATTCTAGCAGAGACATCTCATCATAGGATCTCTTAAGAGAGTGATCGTAGCAGAAAATTTATATAGGATTTCTGCATTTACATCCTCATAGAATCTTTGCATTTATTTCTATATTTTTCATCTCCCCTCGAGCTCAAGGCGGGGTTGGATCGAGGCAGAGCATTTCACGATTTAAAACAAATATTATAACACAAAGGGATTTGGTAAAAATATCCATAATTTGATCTGGTCCTAGAATATATGTCAAAGAAAGGGCATCAATTATAACCCATTCACGAACAAAATGAACATCGATTTAAATGTGTTTTGTATAATAATGGAATATTGGATTTTTGTCCATATGAATGATACTAATATTATCATAAAACAACGTAGGAGTAAAACACAGTGGCTAGTATTTTTAAGTAAGTGTACAAACCACAGTAACTCAACTGTAGTTGCGGCTAAGGCATGATTATCCATCTCAGTTGTTGATCGAAACATAGTAGCTTATTGCTCTACTCCTCAAGATATCAAATTATTGCCTAAAAGGATAGCAAAATCAGTAGTGGAATGCCTGTCATCCTTGCAACTAGCCCAATCGGCATCACAAAAACCACGAAGTTCATGAACAAGATTTCAAATGTAGTGAAGACCAACATTGAGTTTACCCTACTGAAAAATCCTCTTAACAATAATGAGGTAAGTATCATGGGATGCTTGCATGAATTGACGATGCACAACATAGAAAATGTCGGGTTCAGTTAGGGTGAGATATTATAAAGAACCGACCAAACAATGATAAAGAGAAGGATCGGCTAAAGGAACACCATCAGTAGCAGACATGGAAGAGCTCGATGTTAGTGGAGTGCTTACAGATTTGACGCCATCAAGGCCAAACTTTTAAAAAAGAGAAAGTAAATACCTTGTTTGAGTGACACTGATTGTGGACTCATCACGAGAAATTTCAAGTCCTAAAAAATTATGAATGTCATAAAGGTTTTTCATATAAAAACAATAGAGAGATGTATACTAAACTTAGTATACTATGAAAAGGAGTTGCCCGTTAAAAGAATGTCATTAACATAAATGTGTAAAAGAAGAATGTCCGATCCTTGAGTGTGAAAGAATAAGGATTGATCATAGGAGCAGCGTGTGGATCCCATTTGCTGAATAAAGGTACTGAATTTTAGATACCACGCTCGAGAAGCTTGCTTCAACCCGTATAGAGCTTTATAGAGATGACAAACATAATCAGGATGAGAGAGATCCTCAAAGCTTAGAGGTTGAGCCAAATATACTTGCTCTTGTAGATCACAATGAAGAAAGGCATTACTAATATCTAATTGTTTGACAGACCAGCCTTGAGACATCTCAATGGTAAGAATGAGCTTAATTGTGCTTGGTTTGACAACTAGATTAAATGTTTTATCATAATCTAGTCTTAGTTGTTGTGTAAATCCACGAGCCACTAGCCAACTTTATAACTTTTAATAGAGTCATCTGATTATGTTTTGATTTTCAAGACCAATTTACTACTGATAATATTCATAGTTGGTTGTCTAGGTACCAAGGTCTAGGTTTTGTTGGTGTGAAGGGCATCCATTTCAGCTTGCATTGCTTAAAGCTATTGTGGATGTTGGAGAGCTTGTTGAAGTGATGATGGCCCTTGTGGTTGAGTAACAAGGTTGACAAAAAAATAAATAAATAGATATTGGATGTTGTGAAGAGAGAAATACCTTGGGTTTTAGCTTCCTTGTTTGAGCTTGTGTAATCATATGATGCTATTATTATGAAGCAAGTGTGAGAGAAGTCTTCCAGTGTTAAAGTAGTGATTTCTGCTGCAGTGCATGGAGAAATTAAGTTAGGAGTTGAAGGTTGAGATGCTAATACATCTTGGACAGTTTCTACTATAACATGATGAATTATTTTTTAAGTTGAGGCAATAGGTTTTTCTTTCACGATATTGAATGGTCGAGGAATTGTTTTGATTTTAAACAGGCGTGTATGTCAGGTTGCTGCATACATTTATAGGGAAACTGAGATTCATTAAATTTCACATGATGTGATATGTAAAATTAATATGTTTGAGGTTCAAAACAAAGATAGCATTTGTAATTTTTTGAATAACTAAGAAAGACACATCATGTAGATTTAAAATCTAACTTTAATCAACCAAATAGTGCAAGTAAACGGTGGCAGGAACATTCAAAGACTTATAAAAATTCATAAGCAGGAGTAGTACCAAAAAATAACTTCATGAGGTGACTTGTAACCAAGGATTGAAGTGGGTAGACAATTAATTAAAACAATGCAGTATGAAAAGCTGCAGTCCATAATTGTATTGAAATAAAAACATGTGATAACAATGTTAATCCAATTTCTATGATATGTCAATAATGTCATTCAGCCAATCTATTTTGTTCTGGTGTTTCTAGATATGAGAGTCTATGAATGATATCATTAGTTTTGAAAAGATTGTGTAGACTTTAATTAACAAACTCACCACCCTTATCGCTTTGAATTATTTTAACATAAGTATCAAACTGTGTTTCCATTTGCTTAAGGATTAAAGGAAATATTAGTGCTATATCAGATTTGTGATTCGTAGGAAAGAACCATATATATCGGGAATACTCATCAATAATAATTAAATAAAATTGATGGCTATCATAAGAAGAAACATATGCAGGACCCTAAAATCAAAATGAAGTATATGCAGAAAAGAGTTAGCATATGATTTTTTAGATTCAAATGGTAACTTTATTGATTTTTTCAAAACACAGCCTTCATAGAAAGTATTTTGTTTATTCATATATGGTAAAAATAACTTTGTAAGAATACGGGCTTGAGGATGACCAAGCCGTGCATGCCACAAGTTGCTAGATACTTTATTTTCTAAAAACATAACTAGAGATGTGGGGAGTTGTTTTGCAGGTTGATCGAATATAACTCATCCTTTATGAAACCTTTAAGGATTACAAGTTTTGTTTTCATGTCCTTGAGAACAAATCCTTATAGATAAAATAGAAAATAACAATTACTATCTCTTATAAATTGAGATATAAATAATAATTTCTTCTTAATTGTAGGAACCACAAGAACATCATTTAGCTTGAGATTAGTGGTAGGAAGAGTAATATGTCTAATGACAGTGATAGGCAAGTCCAAACCATTGGCAACCATAACAGAGTCATTTTTAAGATAAGAGGTAATACCTTGAACTTCATTTGTGTCAGATGTCATATGCTGGTTTGCCCTAGTGTTAAAATACCATGTCTCTTTTGCAATATCTCTAATTTTGATAGCAGCAAAAGGTTGTATAGATTAACTTCTTCATCAGATGCGAAACATTTGTCTGCTTTGTGACTATGGTCCCCGCTTTGAAAGCAAGTCATGTCACCACGCCCATGAATACAATAAAATGAGGTTTGTTTTTGACGAGTTCTAGTGGAGCTTCCATTTTAGCAAGGGAAACGAGTCTCTTTAGCTCGTAATGATGAACTAATGCCAGTGGAATTTCTTCTAGTGAAATTGTGATTATTGCGGCCTCGAGTGTTGGGGTTCACCCATGGTTTTGAGTTTTTGCGGCCATAATTTGTATAGAAAACCACAAAGAGAGTAGTTATTCGTGCTCTTTGAAGTTGTATTTCAAAGTCACGGAGTTTGTCAATAACTCCTTCAAGAGATGGAAAGACATCTCTAGCATGTAATGCCGTTAATATAGGATCAAATTCAGATCCTAATCCTTAAAGAATACATATGATGAATTCATCTTCATCCATTGATTTTCCTGCACCAAAAAGAGACAAAGCCAAAGATTTTGCTTTCTGTAAATAATCTTCTGATAAAGAATTACCTTTGGTCAGGACTGGAGCTCGCTTTTGATTTGTTGAATGCGATCTCAAATGTGAGTAGCATAAAGAGTCTCTAATATTTGTCATGCATCATGTGAAGA